CAATGAGCTTAGTGTTAGAAGCTGCAAGAAAAGAGCTCTTGCTGAGATGATAGTGCGATGAATTACCTTTAGGTTGTAGAAGGCGAAGGGTTTAAGAGATTTGCGCCGTTTTGCAACCAAAGTTTAAGAACATTCCATCTCGTGTTACCATTGCTAGAGACATTGTAGGGATTTTCAACATGAGAGGGATAAGTTGAGAAAAGTATTGAAAGGGCGTAGGATTTGCCTTACCACTGACACGTGGAACTCAATTCAAAACTTAAACTATATGTGTCTCACAGCCCACTTCATAGATGATGATTGGAAATTACAAAAAAAATCATAAACTTTGGTCAAGTGGAAGATCATAAGGGAGAGACAATTGTAAAAAACTTGAAATTGCTTACTGGAATGGAACATTGGTAGCATATTTACATTGACTGTAGACAATGCTAGTTCGAACAGCACCACAATTAAGTTTTTAAAGTGGAAAACAAGGGACTGGAAAGGACTGTTTTGGGGCATGAGTTCTTACACATGCGCTGCTGTGGCACATATTCTGAACCTTATAGTGGGAGATGGTTTGAAAGAGCTTCATACATCCATTGCTAGAGTTCGTGAAGCTGTGAGGTATGTAAGGTCCTCTCCCAATAGATATGAAGTTTTTAAGAAGTGTGATGAGAAAACAAAAAATGTTGTCGAAAAGTCTTGTGTGTCTTGATGTGCCAACTAGGTGGAACTTCACTTTACCTAATGTTGGAAGCTGCTGAAAAGTTTGAAAAGGCTTTTGAGAGATTAGAGGATGAGGACTCTAATTACCGAGCTTACTTCAAGGTTTGTGAGGGTGAGGATGGAGATGGGCAGGTGTTTGGGATGAAGATGAGAATATGGATGAAGATGAGAATGAGGATGGGGATGGAGAAAAGGGAGGAAGAAGTCAAGGAGATCTCCAACAGCAAGAGATTGGAATAATTGCAAGAATTTTTTTAAAGTCTTAAAACTTTTTTACAATGTAACCAAACGATTTTCAGTGTCTCTTTTTGTTACTTCCAATTGCTTCTTTGATGAGATGTTTGTCATCCAAACCAAGATAGAGCAATTAATCAAAAAGGATGACAAACTTTTGTCCACAATGGCACAAAACATGAAAGAAAAATTTGAAAAGTATTGGGTAATGGGGAGAAAATCAACTTACTTGTGTATGTTGTTGTTTTACTTGATCCTAGAAAGAAACTGAGGTATTTGAAATTCTGTTTTGCACAATTGCTTGTTGAAAGAGTGGTGAATGAGAAACAGGACGGGTAAAGGATTGTTTGTCTCGTTGTATGAGCATTATGCTTATCTCATGATTCGGTAACTGTCGAAATGTCTAATGTGTGTGAAGGATCAGCGATGAAGGTTGATGATGACTGTGATGATCCACATCTATTAATTGCGTCTCAATTTAATACTTATTTGGAAGAAGAATGCTCTAGTCTGTGTAAATCTGAGGTTGATAGGTACTTGGCAGATAGGTGTGAAGCTTCCAATGAAGAAAAGTTTGATATATTGGGATGGTGGAAGGTCAATTCTTCCAAGTATAGAGTGTTGTCTCAAGTTGCATGTGATGTCTTGGCAATACCCGTCTCTACAGTAGCTTCTGAATCAGCCTTTAGTACAGGAGGACGCATTTTAGACCCATTTCGTAGTTCATTATCTCCAATGATGGTGGAGGCTCTGATATGTACATAGAATTGGCTGCAAAGCATAGTTCCTATTTCTCTTCGGAAGGCAATGGATGATGTGGAGGAACTTGAACAATATGACCCTGCAGGTAATTTTTTGATTTATTTTTATTTTTATATTTATGTTTTGTACTAAATATAACATAACATTGTTTTAAATTTGGATTAATTGGTCTACTGCTTGTAGCTCTTTCTGAATTGGCATCAACCTCAAACCCAAGTCCAAATATTATCACACTCTAGTATGGCTTGGTAAAGTTACTCAATTCTATATCTTTAATTTTTATTTCTTACTTAATTAATAAAATCTATTTGCAACATGTTCTCATCTTCTATGTTTTTTGTATTTGCAGGCTTCGATCTTTTTGGTTTCATGGGGAGTTAACTGACTTTCTTGACTTTTGGTTTTATACAATTAACATAGATCAGTACTCTTCTTTTTGACTTTATGAACAAATATTTTTGCACATGGATAGTGATTGGGATAACTATACTTGTGAATGTTTTGATGGATTACTGTCTGTAATTATGATAGACTGAAAATGGATGGTGACAAACTAAGTAGTTAGCTTATTTTGTTAGTTTTAATGTGGATGGTGGCAGTAGGTGGAATTTTTTTGGCAATACTGCTTATTGCATTTGATGTATTTTGGACAGATTTTATTTCTTTCTACTGCTTCAGATTATTTGATGCATTTGAAGTATTTTGGACAGATTTTATTTTGGACAGATCTATTCATAGTGCTACAGATTATTCATTTAGTATTTATTATGTTAGTGCTTCAAATTATTCATTTGGACAGATTCTATTCCTAGTGCTTCAGATTATTCATTTAGTATTTATTTAGTTAGCTTACTTTGATGTATTTTTTGGCAGCAGGTTGTTTGTTTTGGATTGATTTTATATAGGTTATTCATTTAGTATGCTAAACTATTTTTTTATTTTTGGATGAATGAAATATTTTAGTTTGGGTTGTTTATGCTTGGATTTATTTTACAAGTTATTTATTTTATTCATAATGGGCTGTTTGGACTTATTCTAAATAAATTATTAAGTTTTTTTTTTTAAATGGGTTTATTTGTAGAAAGGGCTGTTTGGGTCATTTTCCAAAGCAAAACATAACTAAATTATAAAATTGGGTTGTTTGAATGTTAAATGGGTTGAAAATAATAGTTATTCATAAAGGCCCAAAATTGAAGGCCCAACCCGCCCAACCGATCCGAACCCGACCGTTAAACCGAAAATCATCTACGGGCGGTTTCGCCAACAAATCCGGTCGGAATCGGTTGATTTCTCACCCACCCGCACTATTCCGGTTCGGTAGTGGATAGAGGTTCAACCCGACCCGAACCGACCCGTGTACACCTCTAGTTTTGGGTGCCCTTGGCCCTTTGGGGCTTGCCTTGCATAGCCATGGTTTGAGTCCCTCGGCTAGCTTTAAGCTTTAGGCTTTCTTGCATGCTATACTTGCATTGTTTGGTTGATTTGGCATCATTCCTCACATGTTTTGTAAAGCCCCTGAAATATGTATTCACTTTTAAGACCCTAATGTTTGAATTATTTTTCTTAAAGCCCCTCGGTTACTTGAATTAATTCGAATCTTGTCGGTTAGCATTACTATTTTATTTTTATCAAAACAGAAATTTCCCTAGTCGGATTAGGTTACCTAACCTAATTTAATTCTACATAAGTTACATGTACTTAACTCCAAGCCCCCATCCTTTAATTAAATTCAAAACTTACCCCAAACTAGTACTTGTACCTTGTACCTTGAAGTACCATCAATTATATATATATATACATATATGTGTATACTAGTACCTAAAATGATTAAAATAATAACCCATCACATTCCCCCAAGGCCGGCCACCCTAGGGAAGATAGAGGAGCCAATTTTCAAGATTCATAATGAAGATATTCTAGGAAACCCAAGCCTAGTACCCTAGACCTAGGTTGCTAATTCCAAAACTAGTTCCATTCTAACTAGTATTGACCTAATCTTTGAGTAAGCCTCCCAAATCATCCCTAATTCTTTTAAAATTTCAAACAAATCCTAACCTTCCCATCCATTTCCAACTAATGGGCTTTTAGGACTTTTTACCCCAAAATTTGCCTATAAATACCAACCTCCCCTAAGCTTGGCAAGCACAAACACCACACCCACACACACATTTGGCTAGAGAGGGGGAGGAGAGCAAGAGAGAGAAGTCTAGAAGAGAAGGAGAAAGAAGAGAGCTTCTTGTGCAAAGCTTAGTAGGTAAGCCACAAACACAACCTTCTCTTTCATTTTTCCTTTTTTTCAATAAATGTTTCTAAGGGTTCTAAATAATGTTTTCAGATCTTTTATTACTGAGTTCTCATGTTAAAAATGCTAAGGGTTGAGTATTGATTCCATCTCTCTTGTAATTTCCCCATTTTGGTCCAAAACCATCTCTTTTTTTTTGTACCAATCTCTCAACTTTGCAAAGGCACTCCTTTAAACAAATTTTTTGAGTTAAATATATGATATTTATCATATTTTCTTCACAAAAGAAATGAAACTTTCCCTTGGTGGAACCCCTTTTTCATAAATCTTCTTGTTTTGGGCAAAGCACCTCAGAATCTGTTTTTGCAGCCCACTTCCAGAAATTCTAGAAAAATGCACAAAATTATTTTGGACCTCTATTTTATGTCAAGACCTTCCTTACGGTTTTAGATTTCAACTAAAATTGGTTTCATCGAAAAACATTAAGTGGTTTGCAAGAAAATCAATTTTTCGTAACGGTCGACGGATTTGGACAGAATCTGGACAGCACTGGCATATTTTCTAAATAACTTAGAATCTGGAAAAGCAATCCCATTTCTGAAAAATGTTCTAGAAACTAGATCAAATTCCCTACGAACCATAGGAAGACCAAGTCCGGTGGAAGATCTAAAATAGACCTTTCATTTTAATCTTTATGCGATACTAAATCTGGAAATTTTGTTATGTGTGGATGTTTTATACCCTTGAGTTCATGAGATTGCTTATTAGCTTATAATCATATCTTGGCATGATATTATATGTGTTGTGGTTATGTTATTTACCCTTCTCATCTGAAGAATGCATGCTTACATCGATATTATTGTCTTATAAGTTGGACTAACCTTGATTTAAAACATTTAATTCAACAGGAAACCTAATTGGGAGGGTATTGGGTTTTCGAGCACTTGAGTAATGAAAAGATGAGAATAGTGATATATGGATTGTTGGGATGCGTTTCCTATTTGAAAGTTAAAGTCTTGCGCAAGTGGTTTTCGGAACCCTTGAATGGAGTGGTTGTGTTCGGACCCTAGGTGGTTTGGTGTAAGGAGGGATTCGGGCAAGGCCCTATTTTACCGTCTCTTTTGAGGCCCTGCGGTTGGCACTACACGGTATATAACCGTTGGTAGGCATCCGAGGTTAGTTGTGCAACAAAGCAGCAAAAGAGGGGGCATACCGAATAATTTGCGTCCGATTCTCGTGGTTGGGAGGACGAAATCTCTTTGGGGGATTTCTAGTTGCTAACAACCTAACTTAACCCTTTATTTATTTAATTGAGTATTATGCTTTATTACTTGATCTTATAATGGTGATTGTGTATTGGACTAGGAAAAAAGGGTAGGGTGTGTGTGTGTTCACTGGGCATTCAAAGCTCACGGCGTATCATGCCCGGTGACGAAGCGGAACTCATAGCCGGAGACGACGAGCCCGAAACTTTCGAAGACTTTTGGCTATCCTAGAAAAATTAGAAGTTTCTTTTTGGATGTTTTGTAAAGACTCATTTGGAGACTTAAGCTTTCTTCTGGAATGTAATGTAATAGAACCATCTTTTGAGTTATATATATTGTGGTTGTTATGTATTTATATTCTATGTAAGAACCTTATCGTTGCTTATGAGACCTTGTGTCAATACCTTTTAAGATCTGTCAAAAGGGTAGTGCGCTGCCTAAGAAAGCTGGACTTAGAAGGGAGGCTAATTTGACTCCTCCGGCGATTTGGGATCTTACTTGGTTATTGACCATAGGAGTCATTAGTGACTCTCCCTTGACTGCAACCTATAGTGTGGAACCGGGGTATCACAACTTGGTATCAGAGCCTAGGTTCAACCCTTAACCCTCGCAACCCTATACACTACTCTAGAAGCCCTTACCCCTTATCTTATTTTATTCTATCACGCTATTATAAGAAGATTGACTAATAAAAAATCTTTTCCACCTTAGGATGTCATCGGGAGGCTACGTCAGTACCGACTCATGGGGTGTTTTCTGTATGCAAGGAAGGAGGGCCATGTCTGTCAGCCCGTACTTTAGTTGCCGACGCTGTGAAATCACGCCGAGGAAATGATCGAGACTGAGATACGTAAGGTGGAGATGGGGTACTCCCGCTATACGAGGACGCAGAAGAGGTCTCTGGTGCGGCGCCGCCTACAATTTCTGAGCTGGGCAGCAAAGAAGGCGATCCGAGTGGAGCAAGATGAACAGAGGATGGACTCCTTGATACACCGAGCTTTGACCACCATAGCACCGACTCAGGCTGAAAGCCACGAATCTTGTTATCACGGGCAGGCGATAATCAACCAATGGATATGGGGCATCCACCAGAGCAGCAAGGAGCAAACCCAGCCTACCCTATCGAGGTGTCATCTGATCACAATCCTCCCGCACCAATGTACACCCCCCGCTCTCTGGACCAAGCCACCGATTCCGCTGATGAAGACCCAAAAGAAGACTTTGATTGGTTGGGAAACGAGAACTAAATCGAGGGATAGTAAAACTAGACTTTTGTAAGACCTGCTGATGGGGATCCTTAGAATAAGATAACCTAAACTTGTAATCCGTAGATGCTCTTTGAATGTAACTCCGATATAGGAGCCCTTTTGTAATGATGCCTATTATAATATATGAATGATGTGTTGATCTATGCTATTGACTGTTACTTGCTTTAGTGCACCCTAAGGAAACTGAACCTTTATTTCAAATCTAAGTAGTAATATTTTCTCAGACTGGAAACCAACTCATCACGTGCCATGAACAGAATGGTGGACACGCGAGCTAATGGCTATACCGAAACTAGCAACAATGTACGAAACCGTCCCAGAAATTAACACGGACCCATCCCCGTAGGGGCTAACATCCCCGATAACCTAGGTCATCAAATTTTGGAGGAACTAGGGCAATTAAGGAACAATCGGCAGAATGAGAGGACTAGACTCTTTTCTGAGTTTCGGAAGCAGAGGCCGCCAAAGTTCGTAGGCGTACCAGACCTGAAGGTAGCTGAAAATTGGCTCCGGCAGATAGAGAAAATGCTAGACACCATGGGCATAGCCGAGGCTGCTGATAGAATAGCTTTGGCAGTATTCAAGCTTGATGATGAGACTGACCATTGGTGGGAGTTAATTAAGAATACTCGTGACGTAGCGAGCCTATCATGGAACCAGTTCAGGGAACTATTCCTAAATAAATATTTCCCAAGTACTATCTGTCGAGAACAAGTCAAGGAATTCCAAAACCTGGAGCAAGGAAATATGACCGTGACCCAGTATGCTACAAAATTTGAAGA